CAATAGATTTCTTGCTTCTGCCACAAATTCCCCCAGCTGTAAGCCTTCCAACCTTCTAAATATTCCTTTATATGTGGTTCAGAGTTCTGGGACCAGCCCCCGAGCCTGCTTGGTAGGGTATTCTGTGTTGTTATTGATGAAGCTCCTTTACTGCACTTCCACCTGATCCGCCATCTTGTTAGTTCTCGGCCTTTATGCTCTTTTTTCCATGATTGTTTCCTGTTATTATGCCCAATGTCCTTCCCCTTCTTTACCTGCCTGGGTAACTGCCACTGATTCTGCAATACACGGTCCAAACACTAATAACCTCTACAAACCCCTTCCTGACCTTTCCTTTCCCTATACTTCACACAAGGCATAACAGTTAGCGTTCCAGAGAGTTACGTGTTTCTGGAGAGCAGGGACCCTGGTTATTCTTGACATTTTCTCTGTATTGGGACACCCAAAAGGAATTCAAGTCATGTTTGTACAGCATAAAATTGAATAACCAAAGGTAATTAGAGAGCATCTGAGACAAATCAGTGACACTGTGTGCGTTTGGTTATTTGTAAGAAAAGCAGAGCCCTAGCCTTATAAGAATTTAAATTCTGAACAATGAATCTGTCACAAATCCTTTAAATATTTAGTTTCACCTCATTTTAAATGTAAATCCATTCATTCTAGCAAAGTAATGTAAAGTTCTCTTGCAATGTCTGTTTCTACAGTTATACCACAATGCAGAGCACTGAATCATTGAAAATGTCACCATACAGAGGCAGACAAGAGACCACAGCACCTCAGACCTCCTCCCAGTCTCACCATCCTCAAAAGAAGGAACAAAAAGAACAGGAGGGAGCATTTGAGCTGAGATTTCTCACTGCAGAATGTGATAGCAGAGAACAGAGGCCAGAGTAAGTGAGTGAGTGAAAATGCAACCCTATAAGGAATTCCTGACCTTCAGACATACATGCCTTAAGGTTTCTTTAAGTCTAAGGAGACAGGAGACAGTTCCCAAGAATGTACATGTATATGACAAAAGTCAGCCAAGCCAACAGCATACAGACAGCAGCATATCTGGTCATAACCTGAGTTTGAGACTGAGTTGTAAAACAGGCAAAAGGCACACTCACCACCTGCTTTCACTATCACGAAGCGACTTCACTTCCTAGTTTGCCAACACAACAAAGGATTCTGGGAAAAGCTTTCAATTTCCTACCATCTACTTTAGAATGGCGTCCTGGTGTGGTGCTGTGGGTTAAAGTGCTGAACTGCAAAGTTTAGTAGGCAGAATTTTAACCTCGATATGAAAGGCAAGGTTGGCGGTTCAATCTCGCCAGCCACTTCTCGGAAACCCTACACAGGGTCACTGTGAGTCGGACCCAACAACAACAACTTCAGATTATTTCTCTCAGTAACCTAAGTACAGGATGCTTGATTTGCTTTAGCATTCTCTTGAGCTTTTCAGTTCCTAAAAGTCATGAACAGCGTGTAAATGATATGCCATTTAACATATTAATTATTCCCCTACCCTAATGAATGTCCTCTATTATCTTCTTACCTACGGTTAGGAAGGTACTCAACAGCTGCTCCGTGGCAACAGGCTTGATCTCTGTCCGCAGATTAACAAATCTGCCAACCACCAAGGGGGCACGACGGAAGCCCAGAATCCTAGTTTGGAAGGTTGAAGAACAGGAGAGAAAAATTGTTGGGGGATGCATTTTGAAAATCAGTCTTAAAAAGCATGGCTAATTCATGCTATATGTACAGAGGCATTAAGGAGATAGATCTTATTTTTAGAGGTGCATATATGTATAAGTCTAATATCAAGATGTATGTACTCTGTCTTACTATACTTTAGCAGAAAGGATAAAGCAAATCTGGTAAATACTAATATGAAAAAATCATTAAACCAAGGAAGTGGGTATAGGATTCATTTTTGTTTTCTCTATTTTTGGGTTGTTAGGAATTTTTAAAATAGTAATTAGCTTCTAGTGTGCCATCGAGGACTAGGTGTGCCACTGTAGGATCAGCACTGGACTGCTAACCATGTGATTGGTGGTTCAAACCCACCAGATGCTTCTCGGAAATACTGTACAGGGTTGCTATGAGTTGGAACCATCTTGAAGGTACTTAACAACAACAATGTTGATTCACCTAACTATTTTCACAGTCTTAACAAAAAGTAGCAAAAAATTCACGGTAAGTAAACAAATATTTAACTTGTTCTAAATCACTAGGTGTTTAGGTTGCTACCCGCTTTTCACTACTGAAAACGTTAGTGCTAAGATCTTTTACATATAAGTCTTAGTATTTCTGATTATTTCTCTAGAGTGCATCCTAGAAGTTATCTTAGAATTTTCCTAGGTATATGAATTAGACGGTTGCTGGTTCAAAAAGTATGAACATTAAGGTTTTTGATACATAATGCCAGAGTCCTCCAAAAGAAAGACTGAACCAACTAATGCCACAAGCAGAATATGGATTTAAATCTGTTCTTCCTAGTTTAATTTTCATTTTCTTGACTTAAAAGTTCATTTTAAAAATTCTGCCTACTAAACTTTTTCTTTGTGATTAAGTATTGCTTTTATACTTAGAAAACTCTTTAATTCGGAGAAAACAAACAAAAAATTATCTTTATTTTAATTTCCTTATAGCTGCATTTTTTACAATCCTGTGAATACTTCCTTTTAAAGCTTGTCAATGTGCTCTGAGGAAAGACCTGGTCAGAGAATACTCTGGAAGTCAGATGGGTCTGCTACAAAGTTTCTGACTAGCAACCTGCTGGGAAATGATTCCTGGTAAACATGTTAATTTAGAATTAATATCTTATTTTTCTTATGGAATTATTTTGTGTTTTTTTAAGTTGTGCATATTTTGTATGAAAGACAGTAAAATTCTTTATATATATACATATATATGTATGTATGTATGTATGTGTATATATATGACAGAAGCTCTGGTAGTGTAGTGGTTACGAATCAGGCTGCGAACCACAAGATCAGCAGTCTGAAACTACCAGCCGCTTCGTGGGAGAAAGATGAGGCTTTCTGCTCCCGTTAAGATTTACAGCCTCGGAAACCCTGTACAGGGTCGCTATGAGTCAGAAACAACTCCACGGCACATAACAACAACAATATATATATATATACTTAAAAACATATATGTATATATATAGTTGTTAAGTACCATCAAGTCAGTTCCAACCCATAGCAACCCTGTATAGGGTTTCCAAGGAGTGGCTGAAGAGCTTGAACCACCAACCTTGTAGTTCAAACCCACTTTGCAGTCCAACGCATTAACCTGCAACCCCACACCAGGACTGACTCTGACTCTCTCTCTCATATATATAAGCGTAGTGGTTACGAATCGGGCTGCGAACCTTAAGGTCAGTGGTTGGAAACTACCAGCTGCTCCGCGGGAGAAAGATGAGGCTTTCTACTCCGTAAAGATTTACACCCTCGGAAACACAGTACAGGGTCGCTGTGGGTCGGAACCGACTCGACGGCACTTAACAACAACAACAACAACAAATATATATATATGGTGGTGTTGGTTATATGCCGTGGAGTCCGTTCTGATTCATAGCAACCCTGCCCTGTACAGGGTTTCCAAGACTGTAAATCTTTACGGGACCAGAATGTCTCATCTTTCTCCCGTGGAACAGCTGGTAGTTTCAAATTGCTGACCTTAAGGTTCACTGCCTAATTCGTAACCACTACACTACCAGAGTTCCTTCTCTTTCTCTAAATATAGCTACATATTTCCAGCATATAAAGATAAGTCAGTTTTACTTACTTAAAAACATAAAAGCAATACTACCAGGCCCAACTGATGACAAATTCAATTAAGGGATTGTTTCAAGCTTTAGTTTTCATTGTGCCATTTTATTTAGCAAGAACATCTTCATTCACACTAATTTATAGAGGGCAAGCCTGGAGTGAAATGACCTAAAAAATTCTGTAGTCAAAATACTTACTTTGATATTCCTGGTACCATCCAGATTATAATGTTGTTGTTAAGTGCTATCGAGTCAATTCTGACCCATAGCAACCCTATATACAGTTTCCAAGGAGCAGCTGGTGTGCTTGAACTACTGACCTTGCAGTTCAAACGACTCTGCAGTCTGACACCATTAGGCCACAGCACCACACCAGGACTCCTCAGATTATGATAGATTCATAAAAAGTTAGTGGAACTAGTCACACAAACTGATTTAAATAGTGAGTAAGTTAAAGTTATTAGTGTACCCTTTAGAAGGTGTCTATCCATAGGCCTCCCCAAACAAGTTTTAAAAGGAAACAAATGGAACCTAACTGGCTGTGATTACACATACCTGTCCAAGTGGAAGGCCGCTACCTCTGCATTGTGCCTGTCATAACCAGCATATGGCTCCCCTTCTACCACGTAGTCTCGACTATATCTGCAGAGAGAATAGGAAGCACAGATAGAGACGCGAATTGCATCAAGACCAGAGATAACAGTATAAGACATGGCATATAAACTTTAGTAAGTCTGATTCTGTTCTCTAGACACCTCTCTATCAACCCTGAAGTTTCTCTCTTGGTTTAGCACCAATTACTGTGGATTGGGTAAAGACAAAGCAGAGAAGGAAACGAGAATCTGTAACTATTTCATCTGTCAGTCATCCCATGAAAAAATTATAGAAGATGTATTATTACCAATGTAACAAAAGGGCTTTCAATGTTACTGATACTGGTTAAACGGAACCACAATATAACTTTCTAGAAGGCATGAGCCATCTTTGTATCTCCAGGACAGTACTAATGAGTCAAGTTTGACTCACAGTGCCCCTGTGTGTTACAGAGTACAACTGTATTCCATGGGTTTTGGTGGCTGTGACCTTTCAGAAGCAGACTGCCACGTCTTTCATCCAAAGTGCCTGTGGGTGGGTTTGAGCCACCATCCTTTCAGTTAGAAGTCATCTGGATAACCATTTGTACCTCCCAGGGAATCTGGCTGGACCCACCCCAAAATCAAACTTGTTACCACTGAGTCGATTCCAACTCACAGGGAGCCTGTAGGACTGAGCAGAGCTGCTCTATGTGGTTTCCAAGGCTGTAAATCTTTACAGAAGCAGACTGCCTCATCTTTCTCTCATGGAATGGCTGGTGGGTTTGAACTATTTGTTGATCTTTTGGTTACAGCTAAGCACTTACCACTGTGCAACCTGAGCCTGCAGTCCAAACAACAACAAAAACCCAAGCCCACTGTCAGTGAGTCAAGGCCGACTCATAGTGACCCTGCACAGGGTGCTTTATGGATTCAAAAAACCTCACCTTGCTCCCGTGGAGCTGCTAATAGGTGTGTACTGCCAACCTTATTGTTAGCCACCCAATGTCTAATCTACAGTTAACACTAGGGCTCCTTGGACCCACAGTGTTGTTGTAAAGTGCTACAGAGTCAATTCTGACTCATAGCAACACTGGTGGGTTTGAACTGCTGACCTCGTGGTTCACAGTCCAGTGCTGATCCTACAGTGCCACACCAGGGATCCTGGACTCACAGTAGGTGCTTAATAAACACTTACCAAACTGTTTAGGGAGTCCTGGTGAGGCGCTGCGGGTTAATGCGCTGGACTGCAAAGTTACTTTGAATCATAAGGTCGGTGGTTCAAGCTCACCAGCAGTTCCTTGGAAACCCTAGACAGGGTCGCTGTGAGTCAGAACCGAGTCAACAGCACTTAACAGTAACAGCAACAAACTCTTTATTAGATTGAATTATAGAACTGAAGGAAACTACACTAGTCAGGCTTAGAAGACAAGTTTAATTATCTTGGGTAAAAATCATTCTGAGATTCCTCAGAGTGGTGTTATTTAAAAGTTTTTAAAGTTGCTTATTCTCTTTGTATTTTTTTATGTTTATGAAGACATAATGAAAGGGGGCACTGGACTAGGAGTGAGAGCCATTCATTATTAGTTGTATAACCTCAAGCAAAACTCTTTTCTTCTCTGGGTTTGAGATTCCTTGTCTGTAAGACCAGGGGCGGAACTAACTACAGTTCAAAGTGCACTGCTACCATCTTACATCATTTGCATGACATGAACAAAAGATAATACAAACTGGCAAACTTCTTTTGCTTAATTCTAAAAGACATTAATCTTTAATTGCAAAGGAAAATGTTGAATGCACCTATGACCACTGCTGTTCACCTGTTTTGCATTTTCTGAATTCAAGACCTGTTAGGTTTCATTAGGAAGCTGTGACATAAAACTGAGTTGAGACTGAAGCTAAGAAAAGTAGTTACATTAAAGACACTTTCCAATGCCAAAACAGCTATGCGGAAATAGAAAACGATACTTGACGTGGCCTCCAACTTAGAATATGAAGTGAAACAATGTCCACAAAACACACCTTGCATTAAGATTAAATTTATGTTGGAAAACAGCCATGTAGCACTACCTGGTTGGATCTCAGTTTCTTTGCAACATGGTCAATACACTCAACTGTGTTTTTTGTCTCTACTGTGAAAGGATTTTTTTTAAGGCATTAGATTGGCTACCTCTAAAATAAAACCCTCAGTCTTAAAATATGATTACAGCACAATCTGACACTAGTCAGGCAGTTCTCGCTGTAGTATAGCCGTCTGTGTGCTGTCTGCAGAGTTAGGGACAGTCCCTGGACATGTAATGTGTCCAGACACCAGTGGGAGACCTGTGATTATGTGCAGTCCACTCCTTTCAGTGGAACAGTAGGAGCTTTCCAATGCTCAAGGCTGCTTGGAACAAAATGTAAAACCCTAGAGGAATCCAGGAACTTTGGAGGTGGAGGTGGGAGTGGACTGGACAGGAAGGGAGAGAAAGAAAAGAGAAAAGAGTAAGAATCCTGAAGGAAGGACTACACAGCAGTCAGACCTGAGTCTCGGGCTTGTGTTTCAATTGCATGAAATGCAGAGTCCAGGAAGTCTCTGGATCTCATTTTCCTCATCTAGAAAATCAGGAGACAGATGAGTTGATCTCTAAGATCCCTTTCAGCGCTCCCTATGCTCACTCACTCACTTCCACCCACTCCTAAGCTCCTGCTGTCTTGTTCCTTGTGCACCATGACTGCAGTTTTTGTCTGTGAAAATCAATTTACTTCCAGAAAGGATACAGCTATACTGGGTGTGTGTGTGTGTCACTTTTATAATGTAAGGCAGTATATGCGTATTCCTTTATATGTCATATATGTATTCTCTCTGAGGGGGCATGGATAACCAAGTTCTAGAAACGTGAAAACCACAAGCGGCCATTAAAGAAGGTGCATGTCTGGCCTCCAATGTAAGGACTTAGAGCCTCCTCTCAGCAGAGTGATCCATCTTCAGTCACTGACAGAGCAGCAAAATTCATACAGTAACTGCCCATAAATCACTCCTGTCCTCCTGGTGAAGGACATCAGAGTCTGACCAAGGGCATTAGCTTGCACTTACAGTAGGGCTAAATAGCCTCCTTGGCCCTGGGGGTCAGAACAACAATTTGCTGGGTGTTTTAAGGACCGCAGTCAATTTCTACAGCATTTAAACCTCCACCCACCTTCACCAGCCTGTGACAGTACTGGTGTAAAGCAGCACAGGCAGTGTGTGCAGTGACTCAGAGAGCTGTCACCGAGGGCCCAGGCCAGGTGGCTTGCTGAGTGCGGGCAGGGCCAAGAGATGTGGCTGTTTAGGAAACAAAGGTCAGGGGGCCAGTGTGGCAAACAAAGACAAAAGGGAGGACAAGGTGGGCATACAGAGGACCAGATTGTGAAGGGTTTCGCCATGAGGCTTGGGAGACTGGTTGTGTCAGGTGGGCAAGTGGGAAGCCCCTGGATATTTTAAAGCTGAAGAGCACAGGATAATATAGGCATTTGGGAGAAGAATGGAAGTCGTTTTCATGATGGTATTGGAGACAAAGGAAGGGAAAGGCTGCAGTGAGAGTAGGAGATCTGAGATGAAGAAAGCCGTGACTTAGTTGGTGTATACATTTCTCTATCACCTCCTCTACCCATCAGCCCGGCCTCTCCTCTCTCCACTTAGACAATACCTGCAAAGAACCTGGGCTAATACTGCTCACTATCAGATTATGTGTCTTATAACACTTACTGTAGTCCTGTCCCACGGGACCCTCAATCCCTCAGTTCTCCAGAGTGGAAGCTGTGGTTGTGAAACACAAAATGCCCCAAATCCATCTCTTTCTACACAGTGACTTTTGTTTTCAGTTTTCCTTCTATCACTCTGCTACAAACCAAGAAGTCAGGGATCATATTGTAGAACTAAACTAGTGATTTTGGGTGCTCCGTGTCATCACACTTACAGGAACGTAAACAAATCAACTTAGAGAATTACATGTGTATGGCTGAATACAAACTGCTCAGAACTCTGGCAGGCCTGGGTTCAAACCTTAGCTCTACTGGTTATTGCTGGGTGACCTTGTCTAGTTAGTTACTTTCTAAGCCACATGTTCTTCCTTTGAAAATAACTGTTAGTATCTACAGTTGTGATGAGGGTTAAAAGCATTAATAGATACAAAAGAACTTAGTAGTATTGCCTGGTATGTGATGTGCATCCGATGCCCACAAAATCATAATTTTCCTACAATACCCACCAATGAGACTTTTCTTTTCTCCAAAAATCTACTGTGTTTTAAAATTTTCCTAATGTGTGCTTTTTCTATACATAATACTTCCCATTTCCAAATCCTTCCCAGTCCTGAACTATCAATATAGTCACTGTCTGGCTGCTTTATATCTGCCGATAAAAAACCCATTGCCATTGAGTTGATTCCAACTTATGGTGACCCCATAAAACTGTAACAGTCCTGTGGCTGAAATCTTATGGAAGTAGATCACCAGATCCATGGTGTCACTGGGTAGATTCGCCACCAATCCTTCAGTTCATAGCCAAGTGCAAATCATCTGCATTACCCAGGAATTTATCTACTTATTTAAAAAACAAACCCATTGCCACTAAGTTGATGCCAACTCTGTGACTCCACATGTTCCAGAGTAGAACTGTACACTCCACTGGGCTTTCAATGGCTGTAATCGTATGGAAGCAGATGGCGAGGCCTTTCTTCCACAGGCCACTGGGTGGATTTGAACTGTCAACCTTTTGGTTAGTAGCCTAATGTGGATCATTGGCACCTCCCAAGGACCTATCTACCTAAAGTTGGGTAACAAAGAGGAAGCTGGGCCAACTATTCTGGTCACAGTTGAATTTTGTACATTTCCCCCCATATTTCTTCTCCCAATCTAGCAAGAAACCCAAAGCTATGTATTATATTTTCTCAAAAGTTCCACTAAGGAATGACAAATGTCTATCACACAGAGAATTTTAGACATGACAAACTTTGAGGACATTCTACAGGTAACTAACTCCTGACAAAAGGATTATAGCCAAGACAACTCTATGGAGCAGTTGTACTCAGTAACTTTAAAACAGAGTTGCTGTGAGCCAGGATGTACTGGACGGCAACTAACAACAATGCCACCACAACAAGACTCAGTTCTATGGGAGAGAAATGAACAGAAAGGAAAACTCACACCAACCCTGACAGGGCCTCCTAAGAGACATGTTGCCTGATTTGAGTGTTGAGGCTCTAGTTTGTTGTTGGTAAGTGCCGTCAAGTCAGTTCCGACCCACAGCGGACCCTGTATAGGGTTTTTGAGGAGCAGTTGGTGAGCTTGAACTGCCAACCTTGCAGTTCAAACCGACCTTGCAGTCCAGTGCATTAACCCACAGCACTACATCAAGACTCTAGTTTGGTGGTGGTGGTGGTTATGTACCTTGGAGTCGGTTTCAACTCATAGTAACCCTGTACAGGGTTTCTGAGGCTGTAAATTTTTACGGGAGCAGAAAGCCTCATCTTTCTCCCACGGAGCAGCTGGTAGTTTCGAACTGCGGTTTGCAGCCCGATTCGTAACCACTACACTACCAGATCTCCTTAAGAATCTAGTTTAGACATCTGAAAAACAAGAAAGGAGGAGAGCCTCCTAGTCAAAGGAGCACCACATGAGAAGACACCAAGCTCTGGGAGAGCCAGGTGTAGTATTTAGCATGAAGGAAGAGTGAGCTAAAGAGTTAAGCTCTATATCCACAGAGGACCATCTTGTAACCATTATAAGGACATGCTTCTGAATAAAAAAGGGAATCCATTAATGATTTATACATAATAACAGTATGATCAAATTTGCATTTTACAAGAACAGGCTGGCTGCATGGGGAAGGATAAATTGGAAGGGAACAAAAGATGAAGGAAAAGACTAGTTAATTAAATCTTGGAGTAAAACATTTTAGAATGAGAAATGTGCAACTAGAAGTAGCATTATTGAAGGGAGGGAAAACATACATATTCAAGAATACTAAAAAGGTAATCTTGACAGAGGGGGAGCACAGTGGCTCCATATGATAAGCACTGGGCTGTGAATTACAACGTCCGCGGTTCGTCCGCGGTTCGAGCCTGCCAGCTGCTCCACGGGAGAAAGATGAGGCATTGAGGCATTCTACTCCCATAAAGATTTAAAAAGACTCAGAAACCCCATAAAGGGTTGCTATGAGTCAGAACCGACTCAAGCACTTACCAACAACAGCACATATATATGGGTTAGGAGTTGGGCTGCTAACTACAAGGTCAGTAGTTTGAATCTACCAGCTGCTCTGAGGGAGAAAGATGAGGCTTTTTGCTCCCATAAAGATTTACAGCCTCAGAAACTCTACACAGGGTCACTATGAATCAGAACAGATTTGGTGGCACACCAGTACCATCATCATGTTAACTTATTTCAAATTCATACACCACAGAAAATGAAAACCACTCACCCAAAACCCACTCCTACTCTGGGCAACTCCTACTCTATGCATCCCAAGACATGAGGCTATTGTTGTTAGGTGCCACTGAGTCGGTTCCAATTCACAGTAAACTTATACAACAAGAAGGAAACACTGTCCAGTCCTGTACCATCCTCACAACTGTGGCTATGTTGGAGCCTATTGCTGCTGCCACTGTGTCAATCCATTTCATTTGGGGTCTTCCTCTATTTTCACTGACCCTTCACTTTACCAACAAGCATGATGTCTTCTCTCAAGGACTGGTCCCTCCCCAATAATATATCTGAAGTCTGAGAGACGAAGTCTCACTTTCCTAGCTTCTAAACAGCATCCTGACTGTATCTGAGGCTCATGAGGTTATCAGTCTTTATTTACACACTTTTGGAGATTAGTCATATTTACACACTTTTGGTGACAAGTTGCTTATATCCTAACCAATTCATTTTGTATTTCGAACAACTGATCATAATATGATATATTACAAATCAAGAAGAGCTCTGTCAAAAAGTTGAGTCTTACCATGAACCAAGTGCTTGTCCCTGTAGGTTTTCCCTACTCAAAGTGTGATAAAACACAGAAGCTAGAAAACTTTCCAGATCTTCTAGTTTATCCCTCTCACTTCACCAGAGAAAACCAAGAAAAGGAGATCAATACTCTTTTATAAATTCCAAGTTAAATGAATGAATCAACTCGCATCTACAGCTGCCACGATGAAAACTTACCGCTTAGGCTTGAAGACAACTTTCTGTCCTCCTTCAAGTATCAGTAAGGCTTTCAGTTGGGTCCCTTTATAACCCACATCAGCTTTAATGATTTTCTTGGTGGCCATGGCATGCATGATTGCCCCCAGCTCTGGTGTCTCTTCAGGGTACACTTCCCGGGGAACCACCCACTGGGCTGCAATCTCCCAGGGAGACTGCAAGGTGTGGTCCAGCTTGGGCTCCAGCTCCACCCGCAAGCCAGCCATCATTCGGTGGAAAGCCCTCTGGTCCTCCCGGTTGGCAGCTGATGTATCTAAGTTGTCAATCAGGAAAACTTTGGTGAAGATAAAGATGACAAGGAGAATTGCTAACAGCACGACTCGCTGCTTTAGCTTCATGTTGACCTCTTTTCCTTCTCCCCTGACCCGATCTCTCTCCCTTATCAAGGAGAACTGTGGGTGAAGATTAGCAAGGAGATTCCATGCTTAAACACACTGGTCCATTTCTTCACTGAAGCGCCTCCCACAATTCCTGCAAGCCCAAGTATAAAGCAAAATTTGATCAGAAATTCTATTCTTTCATCCTGTATCTTTTGCAAGCTTCTATTACTTACCCTTTTAGCTTTGCTAATCTTATGCTTGAGAAAGTACACTAATTTAAAATTAACTAGTCCAAGGAAGGACCTAATAGGTAAGAGAATTTAAAATCAAATATTCCTGTTTTAATTAGAATGCAGAAAATCTAGGACTTATGATGAAAATGTACATTTCAACATTTACTATGTATTCCTATAACACGGCAGTTGGCCTGCTACAAATGCCTAGTAAATAAAACCGTGAGACATAGCACAATAACAACAAACACTAAGATATGCACACTCCTTAATTTTTATTTATATCTTTTTTAAAATCCACAAAGGACTTTTGAACATTGAAAGCCACCAATATTTGGTAACTTTACAGTTCTTATCTTCTCCAAATTTAAGCTTTATGACATGCTGAAAGATTCTGGCCTAAATCTAAATATCCTGAAATCCTGTCACGTATACTGTACCAATATTTAAATACAACGCCCACACACATGTCTTGACTTAATCAGTCCCCACTAATTCTTTTTCAAAGTTAAAATCCCTGTAAAATATGGATAATTAAATCTGGATAAATTAAGAAAAGGAAAACCATATACCATCGTCATCTGGCTATTAGTAGGCCACGACCAGAAAACGAACAAAACTTGGAACTAGAGAACCTACTGTGTGGAAAGGGCAGGCAGTTAACAGACATAAAGAAATGCTGCTCCCAGTGTAGGGCTCACCACTCGGGGCAATTCTCAAGCTAAAAGATCTCAAATGCAAGACTTCTGCAAGGGTGTCAACAACATACAATTAAGTCTCACTGGCATGCTGACAGGCAGCTTTTCACGCCACACGGTCATTTAAAACGTGCACAAGCTTGCTCTGCTACATGCCTCCAGTTGGCACAGCATTGGGGAAAGACAGATGACAAGAAGATAACAGGATGCTGTTTCACTCTCCAATTCAATGGAAAACTCAAACCATTCATCGAAGAGAATAAAACCAATGAAAAGTAGAGGGCAAGTAATTTTAGCTGAGACACTCCCACCCAAACTTTTGCCACTGCTCCCCTTCTAACAGCTGGAAACCCATTCAAAAACAGTCCACTGGAGCAATGGTGTGCTTGAAGGGCAATACCTTGCAGGGAGCAGCTGATCTGCACTTATTACCAGTGACTAACCCCTCTGTTCCTATTGGTTTTCATTAAGGAAACTGAAAAATGAAGGGTAAATTCAAATCCTAATTATCTCCAGCCACCTGTTTTGTTTCATCATGTTCTCCCAGGGAGTATAGAGCTGAAACAAAAGCAATCTGAGTGCAACCAAAATGTAATTGTGACGATATCAAGTTTTGTGTGAAACTCAGGAAAACAGTTCCCTGTGATTACTGATTGACTTCACTCCAGTACCATTGTTGATAAGTGCCATTAAGTCGGTTCTGACCCATAACAACCCTGTATAGAGTTTCAAAGCAATGGCTGGTGAGCTTGAACTGCTGACCTTACTGTTCAAATGACTTTGTAGTCCAGCACATTAACCCACAGCGCCACACCAGAACTCCTAACTGCAGTACTAGGAGAGCTGTATGTCCTCCCTCATGCTATATGTTGTTGTTAAGAGCCGTAGAGTTGGTTTCGACTCTAGCGATCCTGTATAGGGTTTCCAAGGAGCAGCTGGTGGATTTGAACTTCTTAGTCCTACAGCGCCACACCAGGACCCCAATGCTATATATATAATTGAGTGGATGAAAATACTTCAGAACACATTCATCGATCCAGGGTTGCAAACCATTCATCTACTCAATAAGGATAAAAACTTATATAAATATTTATATATCAGTTGTTCCTTTGCCTTCCAGTCGTTTCTGACTCAAAGCTAACCCTGTAGATGGTTTCTGAGGCTGCAAACCTTTTGCAGAAACTCCCATCTTTTTCCCATGAAGCAGCTGGTGGGCTCAAAGCACTGGCTTTATGGTCATAATCTAGTGCATATCCTGTAGAGTCACAACACTCCATCTGTGTGTGTGTGTATGACCTGGTGTGACGCTGTAAGTTAAGCAGCACTGGACTGCTAATCATGCTAACCACAAGGTCAGAAGTTCAAATCTACCAGTCATTCCTTAAAACCCTATACAGGGTCATGATAAGTTGAAACCAACTCAATGGCTCTTAACAACATATAGCATGAGGGAGGGCTTCCTTTTTTCCTAACTGAAATGAACAACCCCAATAGAAGTTTCTGGGTTAACTGGACTTCGGTACTGAAGGATGTTCTGGAGAAAGCGAGTACCCTTTGTGCTAGAATTGTACTGCATTTGCAGGCAGTCACATCTGGAGGTGCTGAGGAAGCAATGGCTGACCTCAATGGCACACAACAGCATATATATATACACACACACACACACACAACCAGACATTCAGTGTAAAGGTTAAGGCTGTCAGGATTTTTTTTTTTTTTTTTTTACCATAGATGCAATAGAAGTTCCAGCATAACCAACATTCAGGTAAAACAATTCGTCCAACTCAGCAATCTGAATTTATGTGCTTTTAAGTTTTGAAATCTCATTACTTTTAGAAAATGCAACAGAAGAACATATTTACTGATCCAGGGTTGCAAACCATTCATTTACTCAATTAGGATAGAAATTTATATTGCAATAATTGGAGAGTTCAACTGTTATATACTTGTGTTTCACTATTTCCCCTCTACAGATTAGCAGCGAGAATAGGTTTTTTTAATTTTATAAAGGCTGAACAAAAGTTTGCTTGTCTGTGATTAGTCACCACATCCTGGTAGAACGAAGAAAACCAAGATTCGCAATGTTCTCTACAAGTGCCCTCCACTTGCCTGCCTCCAACACACTCTTGTGGCCCCCACCTCCTAAAGGACCTGATAGAACTGGCTTCTAGGCCTCCGGCTTCTCCAGTTCAGCCTAGATCATGCAGCCCAAACCACTTTACTCATCACTGAACCACTTTTCATCTCTACATTCCTTAGTAAGGTGTTCAAGTCTGCCGTAAATGGCTTCAATCTACTTTGCTAGGCACCATTCTCATTGTTCCTCTTCTCAGTTTTAGCCAAAATGGACCAACTGAACAGGCTGTGTCTCCCCTATACCACCCTTGCCATTCCTCACACCTGGAGCTCCCTCCGTATCTCTCTCTTCCCCTTTCTTCTATTTCTCCATTTAGAATTTAATCTACCTTTCAAAGCCCATCTCAAGGCTGTTTCTGGTCTCTTCTCATACTCCAGAGTAACTTCAGAGTAACAGTCCTTAACTACATTCTGCCCTTATAACACCTTCTTGTACATAATTAATCCCCTTATCCCAGTGGCAGCTGCAATGGTTGTGGGAATGGTGCAGGACCAGACCGTGTTTTGTTCTGTTGTGCATAAGGTTACATTGGTGATATAGGATCAGCACTGGACTGCGAACCACAAGGGTGGCAGTTCAAATCCAACAGCTGATCCTCGGAAACCCTACATAGGGCCACTATGAGTCAGAACCAATTGACAACAACAACATCATCAGTATCTTGGCTCCTTAGTTATCTTAGCCATCTTTCCATGCCCCATGGTACTAACACAGTAAGGGTAAATGCCTCCTTAACCTAAACAGAACAAATTACAACAAATAAGCTTTGCAAATATCTTAGGACTCAGATGCCAATCTCCTTTGGCATTCAGTACGAAATGAGTATCAACTGGCACCTTAATATTGGCAGAGGGTGCCAGCCATCCTCCTTTTCTGGGAAGGAAGCTACTTCTCTGCCAGTACCCTCCCTATTCAGTTTATTTGGTGGTTTCAAAGTGTAGGATCTCTTTTTCTGAGGAAATACTGGCAGATCATAAAGAGGTTTCTTACAGCTAGAAAGCTGCCACTCCTTTATCCCACGGGGCAAGTTCAAAGCAATCGGAAACAACTATCAATGTAGAGATTATAGTGGCATTGCTACAAAGTCTATGAGCTTGCAGGACTCCGGTTCCAGAAAAAAATGTATGAGCAAAGTGACTCAGAATAATCCCATCCTTTAACGATGGTCTCCTTAACCTTTAGGATGACCTCCCCCCTCTACTCCTTCATGCTTGAGAAGAAAGAATGCCCAAGATAAGAGTTTCCATGCTATATTAGTTTCCTTCCTTTTTTGAGATAAGCAGCATACTACAAACTCTACAAACTGGGTTTCTAAGAGGATCTCCCGTTTCAGATCTAAGGAAATTAAAGTGAAATCACTGGGTACATTCCAAGATATTCATGAAAAGCTCAGTAACATTCCCAGTGGATTCTGTCTGCTCTTTTTCATGTCCTTATTTCCTCCCATAAATGCCTCATACAGTATAACGCTGTTCAGTTATATTCTGGTCATTTATTTAATGTTTCTGTTATGTGGGACAGAGCCTACCTCAAAGAACAAATAGACTCAATGTAGTAACTCAAAATGTGTTTAATATTAAAATAAAGGCAGTACAAATGGTACATTTAAAAATAGATCTCACACCAAAAAGCGGTATGAACTCCCAGATTGGAACTCCGGAAGGTAGACCTTCATAAGAAATTTTCCTACCGAATCTTGGCTTTACTCTCAGCTCTATAGGTTAAATGGGGCTGGTTTTGGAAGATCACACACACAACCATTTTACATGTTTGATAAAGGCTTTATAAGGACAAACTTATGACTCTAAAGCTGCTTTGGGAGAATAGAGAGATCCCACTGAAAAAGTGAGAACTAAGTATAAGTGATAACTGAGAATCCAACTGGTGTTTGGAAGAACATATACAAGAAAACATATCAGTTCTGAGGCCAGTGAGTCATGGTATGATGAGGTTCAATGTACACGGCTGCTGAGTCACATGAGAATGAACACCTGGCCCCAAGCTTATTACCTTCTTAGAGGCTCCTACAAGCCACAAGTGAGGATCCAAACCCTACTGATAGCATTGTGCCCTTGAGTCTCCC